GGGAAGAGAGGCTCCACCCAGCCTGGATGCTGCTTCAGGTCCTTGTGGTCAGGCTGCGCTGCTGGACCTTGTGGTCAGGCCGCTGAGACCTCCAGAGAGCACCCCTGGGATTCTCCAGAGAGACAGAACCAATGGAGGTAAACCCTCGATGGAAACAGACACCGCGTACTCGGGAACACCACAGTCCAGGCCAGGCCCGCGGGCAGCTCCCGTAATGCCCTGGGAGTCCACCTTCAGGAGGAGGTGCTTGTGTTCTGAGTCACTTAGGGGTTACGATCAGACTCAACCCTGAATCGTGTGATAAAGGCTACCTTTTTGTTTTGTTTTGTTTTCCTTCTTTATCTCTTGGTGCTGGGGATTGAATCCAAGGGCGCTTTACCACTACATCCCCAGCCCTTTTAATTTTTTATTATTTTTTTTTAATTCTGAAGCAAATTCTTGCTAAATTGCTAAACTGGCCTTAAACTTGTGACCCTCCTGCCTCAGTCTCCTGAGTAGCTGGGATTACTGGCATGCGCCACCCTGATCTTTTTTTTTTTTTTTTTTTTTTAATAAGAATTCTGAACATGTCAGAAAATTATAGGTAACAAACTCCCCACCACCAGTTCTCCTGGCCACCTCCTGAGCTGTGGGGTCTGGCCTCTTCTCTTGAGGGGACTGGGCCAGAAGGTTCTGAGACCCCTCAAGCTAATGGTGTGGCCACATTTATCTGCTCACTGCAAACCCTGGCTCCCCAGTGCCTTGGCCCCTGCAGGGGCTTTCCCACCCAGCTGAGGGTGGCCTTGTGTTTACTAAAGCTTCAAGCAAAGAGCACGTTCTTCTCTTCTGAGCCTAAGCTCAGGCAGTTAGTGATTCGAGTCTAGTAGGTAACTTAGTACTAACCAGATTACTCATTCTCTCAGGGGCCATATCTACCTGCCTGTCCGTCTGTCTTTCTGTTCTGCGTGCTTACTGCTTTACTATGAGCCAGCCCTTCTGAAAGCCTGTTTTTGTGTCTTAATTCATTTAAACAGCACTGCAACCCCGTGTCTATTACCATTCTCCTTTTACAGTTGAAGAAACTGAGGCAAAGATAAATGAACAACTCGCCTGAGGCTGCACAGTCAGGAGGTGGCAGAGTCTGATTTTGAACCCCAGGACATCTGGCTCCAGAGCCTGTATGTCACCCCCATGCTGTCCAGCCCCTCTCCGTGAGCCCTGGGAAGAAGGTGCAGGGGGCCTCTCTCCCTGGGCCTGGGGTCACACCCTCACTTGTGGACATGGGCCCTGTGCCCTGGACATCTGCGAAGCCAGTAGATGAGATCAAGCAGAGCACAGCAGGTTCTGGGGAGGGAGGAGAGAGGGCTAGGGTGTGGGGACATAAGCACGCTGATATTCCCAAATATGGAAATGAAAATAAGCCTGGTCATTCAGGGACACTGGCTACTGCCTGGTCTGCAGCACTGAACACCTGCAAGCAGAGCTCTATCCTGTCTTCAAAAATGCCCTGTGAGCCAGGCGCGGTGGCGCTCACCTGGAATTCCAGAGGCTCAAGAGGCTGAGGCAGGAGGATCACGAGTTCAAAGCCAGCCTCAGCAACTTGGCGAGGCCCTCAGCAACTCAGTGAGACCCTGTCTCTAAATGAAGTATAAAAAGGGCTGGGGATGGGGTTGAGCTCAGTGGTTGAGTACCCCTGGGTTCAGTTCCCAGGACCGCCACCCGGGCCGGGCCAGCCTGGCTCCCTAAATGGCCTGTTTTAGGCTTCGATGGCAGACAGGTTGTGGACTGGGGATTGGAGGTGTCGTGGGCAGCCAAACCACACAGATGGTGGCCACATGTTCCTAGAACATGAAAGCTTCAAGAAACACCAACCAGCCAGGAAATCGGGATTTGTTCTCATGGAGAGCCCATTTCAGGGGGAAGTGGTTTCTGAGAGCCTCCGCAGAGCAGCTGCCCCTGCCTGGAATGTGCTCTCCTCACCCCCTTCCACCTGGATCATCTCCTGGAGCCCAGATGCTTTCTGCAGCAGCAGTGTCCAGTGAGAACTGAACAACATTATTTTTTGAGAAAGCAATAACAATTTTTTTCTTTTTGTATAAATAAAAAAGAACAAATCAATTTAAGGAAAAATGATGGTATATGTGAGGCAGAAATTTTAGTACTGAAATTCATCGATGTGTTCATTTGTGTGCTCATCAAATATTTATGGAGAGCCCTCTGTGGACTGGGCGGGGGTTGTGTTTTTCTACAACTGGGGCAAAGCCTGGTGTGTGTGTGTGTGTGCAGCCTGAGTTCCCAGGAGGAGAAAACAGGTCAATATGTCCAAACAGGTCAATATGAGAGGAAGCAGTGGACACTGCTGAGGTCAGTTCTGCAGGGGAAGGGGACAGCAATCAGGGGGAGGGGATTTAGCAGGGAGACATTTAAGTAAAGACACAGATGATGCGACTTGTCTTTAATCAGTAAAGACACAATAGATAGCCTTGTATGTAAATGGGTCCTGAGCATTTAAAAGAGGGAACCTCAAGTTCAAGGCTCTGAGGCAGCAGCCTGCACGGAGTGCTCAAGGAAATGCTGTTGGCAAAGGCACACTTGGGAAACACCAGACTAGATATTGTCCAGGGTCACCTCCACCCCTGGGACCTTCTAATGGTGGCCTGGATGGGGTGCTTTCTGATTAGGGTGGTGTTATCTCAGAACCTGACTGCTGAAGGCAACCTAGGTGATCAGATGGAACTTGAGTTCAGGATGTCCCCAAGGATGGGACGGCAGGAGGCACTCCATGTCTCCCCTGCCTTATGTTTGCCTCCTGAGGGGAGAAGAGTTGTGACTCATTAAACATTTGCTGAGTGACCTCAAGGTACCCTGCAGGAGGCTGGTTGTAGGGACAAGATGAATCAGATGCACTTCCTGCCTGCCCTCTGTACACGTGTATGTGTGTGTGTGTGTGTGTGTGTGTGTGTGTGTGTGTAGGCCCTGGGGAGGAGGCAGGGGTTCTGCTCACCGTGGGGAACCCTCAGAGTGACTCTGCAAGCCAGGCTTTAATCATGGAGCTCAGCGTGAGCATGAGCTTAGACAGGGGATTCTTGTTCCGGGAAAAGTGCCTTAAAAATCCATAGGAAGCTTTTCCCTTTCTTCTGCTGTCTGTCCTTAGAATGTTGGGGTGTTTTCCATTTGCTATCTCATGTCATTCAAAGCAAGGAAAAATAAAAACTTAGCATGAGTTTTTGCCATTCGTCTTTGTGTTTTAGAATGCTGGCTTTAAGTGCAATTATCAGAGCATTTAACCATCGTGCAAAATCAAGAAATTATACGGTTTGTGCTGTGTGGCTCATTTCCAGGGGTGCCTTGAGTGGGCCAGAAGGAGCAACTCGAGCCAAGAGGGGGATCGGGAGTCCCCGCTGCCTGAGGGCAAACCCCAGCAGTGCCGTCCTCAGCTGTTCACGACCCATTTGGGCCTCAGTTTCGTCATCTGAACAAGGGGACTGACACTGACCTAGGAGGGTGGAAGGAGGAAGAGAGTTGGTGCAGACTCACAAGTGCCTAGCTCCCTTCCCCGCACGCACACTTGCGCTCAGGTCTGACGGTGGCTAGGTGTTTGCTCCTACCAGATGTTAGATTACTGTTCTGTTCCCTGGCCAGGGGTGGTTGGGGAAGTTGAGCCAGGTGTCTCCCCTTCCTAAGTTCCCCCCACCCTAAGCCATAGCAGATGGGCAACTCCAAGGATCTTTAAACCTGGGAATCAGGACCTGCTAGGACCTGGTCAGGTGTGGGTGAGAGGCTCACTCCGTCCAAGACTCATCCTCCAGCAGGTCACCCACCAAGCTTACCGTGGTGCTGCTATCCTTGAGCCCTAGACAGGAGGGGCTACCAGTTGTCACCATGCTCCACCCAGATATAGCACCAGACCTAGAGGCCTGACTTGGACCTTCCCTGCTGGGAGTGGTGGGTTGCAAGAGTCACAGAGCAGGGAGGGGAAGGGGGAGGCCAGGCAGGTCCTGGGGCCCCAGGGAACAGGGGAGCAGCTGCCAAGGGCCTGTTGCAGGAAGGCAGGCCAGGTCTGAGCTCAGCACCGTGACCCTAGCACTCCTTACAAAATTACAAGGGCAAAATGATGAAGTCTTTCAAGATGGCGCACAGGACACCCCACCCCGAGGCTTCGTCACCCCTGCTCTGTGACTCCTGCCCAGCAGCCCTACCAGGCAGAGATGAGCATCAGCTCTCTTGTTCAGATGAGGAAACTGAGGCCGAGTGACGTTCTGCATGAACGGCTGTATGTGCGCAGTTGGGGTCTGCACCAGGCAGTGGGGACTCCTGATCCTCCTCTTGTAGCCCTGCATCATCCTCCCTTTGTGTCACTGACCCTGGTTTTGCCCCTCACCCTGCTCGCTCACTGCACAGGGTCTCTGTGGCCTCCCCAGCCTCTATCAGGCATTTCCGCTTCAGCCTCCACCGGGGTCCACCTCAGCACTGCCCGGGCCAGGTTCCCAGTGGAGGACTCCCGCTGGCCCAGCCCCTCTCCCGCAGGTTCCACTATGGGCTGCTGCCAGCTTTCGTAGCAGAGGCTCTGGGGCAGGAATACAGCCAAGGCTCATTGCCTGTGACTGGGCAGGGAGCAAGGACACATGACATGGAAACACTGGCTGCCCTTGGTGGCCCCTGGAGCAAAGAGGGTCTTGATGAGTGGGATTGCTTAGGGGAGCTTCCCATCCTGACCCACCCCATCCAGGCCTTGTCTGATGGGAACCAGCACATCCTGGCTCTTTGTCCAGGCCCAGGCTTCTGCTGAGAGCCTTCATTCTAAAGCCAGAAGCAGGTAGCTTCCTCTGGAATGATGGCAGATTCTGGGCAGTGGTGGGAACATCAGTCTTTCCGCAGGGTCAGCAGACGTGGAGTGGGCCAATTAGTGGACTTCCTCTGGGGCCTGGGGCTTCCTTGCTGAGCCTAGGCCACCACCAGGCAGCAGTCACCGCGGTGTCTGGGCAGCTCCCTTCTCACCTCCTCTCCTTTCCCCCATGTAGAGCTCCACCTGGAGGGGAACTTCCTGCACCGCCTGCCCACTGAGGTGGGCAGCCTGCAGCACCTCAAGGTCATTGACCTGTCTCGGAATCAGTTTCAAGATTTCCCTGAGCAGCTCACCACCCTGCCCTCGCTGGAGACCATCAATCTGGAGGAGAATGAGATCGTGGGTGAGTTGCCACGTTAGCCCCTGCAGGGCACAAGGCTCTGGAGTTGGGCTGTCACAGGCCTGAGGGGAAGCATGGGCTTACTGGTCCAAGAAACCTGAGCATAGAGTAGTGGACCTGGGAGGGTGACCAGTGTGTGGTCCTGCCACCTGCCAGGTGATGACTTGGGCATTGGCTTTCACTGGGGGGTAGATAGCCAGAGCTTCCTACAGTGTGTCCCTGAACCAGCTGGGCCCCTGTGGACCACAGGCGGTCCCTCTCTGAGTCTCCAGATGTCTCCAAGACCTTCAGCTAGTGCCCTCTGTACGCTTACCCCCTCTGCCTTCCCGCCTTCACAGTGAGCTCCTCCCTGTTGCAAAACAGGGACCACTGGACAGAACAGCCTTCCAGGGTACACCAGGGTCCTCTTTGAGCCCAGCCTCCCAGGGCCCTCACCATTGGGCACCCATGGTGTCTGATGTGTGCCTTCTGCAAACAGCAGCCCCGGGGGGCTAGGTTCTGCTGAGCGGGGAGTGTGGGGGGGAGCGGCCTCCCTCCTCTGGCAGCAATTATACACCTTGCTGCCTCATCAGGACCTTGCAGAGCTGCGCGTCCTCTTGCCTAGCAGCCTAATCTCCCCAGAGAGAAGCGGGCGCCCGCTGGGTCGCAGGGTCTCCTCGCGTCCTCTCCTCCTCGGCCCTTCCTTCAGCTGCCCTGACCCCTTTCACCCTCCCATTTTGCCTCTAATTTTAATGCTGTTCTCGTGTCACCAGTGTTAATTCTAATCCTCTTCAGTTTTGCTCCTGTTTTCCTAAGTCCTTTTACAGTCATTATGCCATTTGATTAAAAGCAAAGCCTTTTAAGTGGTCTGGGCCCTCCGGTGGGGAGTGGCCTGTGCCTCATGCCGGAGGTGAGTGCCCATCTGTCAGGGATGCTGCGGGCAGGGCCATAGGCCTTGCTGACCTGTGAGGTTCCGGGGCTGTTGCCTGACCTCTGGGAAGCCTCTGGGGAGGGACTTGTGGTTCAGTGTTGAGCTCCAAGGCCAGGGTCCCTGAGCAGCCTGTGCCTGGGCCAGCTCACCAGTCACTTGGGCCTCTGCACAGCAGAAGGAGCATGCCCAGAAGTGCTCCCTCCTGAGCTGCCCTGGCCTCTAGGCTCTGGCTGCTGGGCCCTTTGGCCCCTGCACTCTGGCCAGGCCCTCCTTGCCGGGTCCTCCCTCCCATGCCTCTCTGTCACGAAGGCCCTTCCTGCGCCTCTGCCTCCTTCCACTGCTTATCTCAGTAGGACAGGAACCCAGCAAGGGCCTTAGTAGCCATGCCAAGGCCAGAGCTGAGCAGGAGGGTGGGACAGGACCTGGCCTGGGGCATCCCCACTTCCCGACTGTGGCCTTGGAAGACTCACGTCAGCTCTCTGTACCTTGGTTTCTTCTCATCTTTCCTCTTGAAAGATAAGACCACCCCAAGAAGGACAGAGATGAGAAGGGGACTGTCCCCCCAGCAGGGGAGCAGGTGGGGTGGGCATCTGTGCCTCCTGCAGTTCATGAAGTGACTTTCACAAAGTGTGCAGTGGGGTTCGGGGGCAGACTTCCTACTGCTTCCCTTCCCAGGACAGAGCAACAGCCCCTCAGCAGAGAGAGGCTGCTTTGGCTCCTTGCCTTCTGCAGTGACAGTAATGACTACTCATAGAAGCGTCTTGTAGGTTACCCACGACACTTGTGCATACTTGGGCACGTACAGGGCGATCACCCCCATTTGACAGATGATTCACCAGCCTTCATGGCCAAGTGCCTGTGCACACCTGGTCAGGTAATCGAGCCTCCTGCAGCCCAGTCTGGGCCAGCTCTGGGGTCTATGGAGATGCCAGAACAGGGGCAGGGCTGGGGGAGCTGCGCCTGTCCAACAGATGCTCAGCAGACCCCAGGGAGGCCACTCCATGGCAGGAGGCCATGGTTGTTTTCCCTCGGCCCCCAGAGGGATATGGAGGCAGTCATTGTCCCCTGGTTGGACTCTCCCCACTGTCCCCTCTCCCTGATCCGTTCTGGTTCGTTGGGTGGCTTCTCTCTTCCCACACCAGTAAGAGGGCCACGCTCCACCCTTCACAGCCCCGTGGACGGGGGCAAGCAGCGCAGGGCAGCTGGGTGGGGGCCTAGAGCCACAGCGGTGGTGAGGACTGTGCCAAGCCCTTTGGACTTTTCCAGGTTGTCCCCATCTCCTGCAGGATCTCGTTGGGATGATCAGCAGCAGCCTGGGCGCCTTCAGTGGCTTCTCTTTTCTGAGTCCTCAGGGCATTGGAAAAATAAGACCAGATTTTTATGAGAGAGAACTTTGAGACATATGAGTTGTCATAAAGCTTTAGAACAATGAGTAGAGAAGAGATGGGGGGCTCTGAAGCAAGCCCTCAGGTCCATCAGAAGGACTCCACCCGAGGGACCTCCTGAAGGAGCTTCCGGCCTGCCCCGGTCACCCCCTGTTCCTGAATAGTGCTGCTTCTGATCTTCCTCCATCTTTGGGCCATTTTGGGGGAAGAGGAGGATCAAGGGCTTCATTCCCTGGAGGGGACAAGGCTGGGTCCTCCGCAGGGTGCAAGGAACAGACTTCTCTTGTGTCCTTGGTGTTCAGGGTGGCTGAGTGCCCTCACGTCTCTTGTCTTGTGACATGTGGCTGCCTTTGCTGCTGCCACCCGTGCAGTCAGCCCTCTGGTCTGTATGTGGGACCCTTCTCTGTGTGAGGGTGGTCGTGTCCTCTCCTCTTGGGAGCTACCTGTTCCCCGTTCCCGCGGCAGTGAGCCTCTGGCATACAGCAGGTGCTCAGCGGGTTGGGAGCATGGCGTAGAGCAGGAAGTTGAAAGCCCTGAAGCTCCTCTAAAATAGTGGGGACACAAAAGGGTGGATTATTTCAAGTTGCAAGTTGTGATCCACGAGTGAATTGTAATGTCAAATTAGTGGGTTGAGACCATCAATTTCTAAATGGAGTAGAATAGAAAATGCCAGGGTACATCACACGGAGCATAATAATTACTATTTTGTGCCTTTTAATTTCAGTTTTACTATGTGCATTCACAGGTATGTATTCTGAGTCATGATGAAAAATTGTACTTCTTATTATAGGTCATGGCGGAAAAGTATCAAAAGGTACTCCTACATGTTGTCTCACGGAGATGTGGGGGTCTGTTCTTGGCCAACCAAGCCACCTGTCCTCCCCTGCCCATGCTCCCAACCACTCATGCAGTCTTCCTCTCATCCCTGTCCCCCGCCCCCTGCATAGCCTGTGTTCTCTGTCTGGAAGTCCTTCCTCATGTCTTACCATTCCCTCTACCTTTGGCCAAATCCTCTTGGTCTGAAGGTCTGGGGCTGTTCAGTTGGACAGGAAATGGAGCAGGTCAGGGGGCATCTTACCTCCTGCAGCTGGCACCCTGACACACACCCAGCAGCAGATGCCTCCCATGGGAATGAGCAGCTTCCTGGGATCTTGGAGACTGGGATGTCAGGACATGGCTATTTGCTTTGGACATTTTGGGGGGGAATATTGAACTCAGGGGCACTTGACCACTGAGCCACACCCCAGCCCTTTTTTGTTTTATTTAGTGACAGAGTCTTTCTGAATTGCTTAGGGCCTTGCTAAGTTCCTGAGGCTGGCTTTGAACTTGTGATCCTTCTGCCTCAGCTTCCTGAGCTGCTGGGATTACAGACATGGGCCACTGCACCTGGCTGGTTTGGACATTCTTAAGAGGGAGAAAAGGGTTTGTAGCTTAGCAGGTTTGTAGTGTAGTGCAGACAATAGCCACTTACAAGTTTCTGAGATGTGGATGGTTCTTTTACTTTCCAAACCAGAAGGATGCAATCATTCCTTGGTATCCACAGGTTTGGTTTCAGGACCCCCAAAGTTACCAACATTTGCAGATACTCAATTTCCTTATATAAAATGCAAGTATTTACATATAACCTAAGCATACCCTCTGGTGCCCTTCAAATACTCTCTGGAGCACATACAACGTAAGTGCTGTATATGTGGTTCTCCTACTGCGCTGTCTAGGGAATAATGACAAGGAAAATAGCTGTACCTGTCAGTACTGATGCAATTTTTCTCTGAATATTTTCCATCTCTGGTTGGCTCAATCTTGGATGCAGAACACAGAGACTGAGAGCCAACTATATATGGAAGGTTTTAAGTATTTATGAACAAGACTACATGGTGAAAGGCAATCTCTGTCCAAGTAGGGGTATAAAGACCAATGAGTGACAGGTCCTGACATCAGGGTGCTTACAGCATTACTGTGAGCAATACGAGGCTACCAGAGAGGACCTGGTCATAGCTGCAGGGAGGCGAGATGTGCCATGGCCTGCCAGAATGAGGATGCCCCTGCCAGGGGGTGGCTGACTATGTGACCTTGTGGGAGGCAGCTCCCCAGAGCATGAGGGAGGAGGTGAGGTGAGGCATTTAGTCTGTGAGTGATGACATGGGGTCATAATGGGTCACCCAACCTGTGAAGACTGGGAAATCAGCCTTTTCACCACAGTAGCTGACACATATGCTTCAAGGTGGGCACAGGAGAGTCATTAGTTCTCCCCACTTGCTCATAAGTACTTGGCTGCTTCATAGCAACTCAGTCCTGGAACAAGTGGGAGTGAAGAGAAAATCACATATTAGGGAGACTTCATTTTGCTAAGCAGGAGACTATTTCGACTAAATGAGAATTTTACTTTCCATAGCCCTTGATACCCTGTTTTTCTTTCCTCTGTGCACGCTCCCTGTTCCAGAGAGAGCAAAAGAGCATAGGAAAACAAGTTCTAGTTAAGAATTTAATTACCAGAGCTGAGCACAGTGGTACACCCTCTAATCCCAGTGGCTCAGGAGGCTGAGGCAGGAGGATCGCGAGTTCAAAGTCAGCCTCAGCCACTTATCCAGGTCCTCAGCAACACAGTGAGAGCCTGTCTCTAAATAAAAAATAAAATGGGTGGGGATGTGACTCAACAGTTAAATGCCCCTGGTTCAATCCCTGGTACAAAAAAACCATCACTGGAGCAATAGCACATAAAGAAAGAGCCTCTGTGTTGCGAAGGGGTGTTTTGGGCTGCATTTGCTTCATTTGGCTCTTGTACTTTTTCACTTCTCATTGTCCCTGCCTGTATTTCTCAAAGTGCAGCTGAGAACAGGTTAGAAATGCATATTCTTAGGCCCCAAACCAAACCTATCAATCCAAAACTTGGGGGGAGGGGCGGTGTAGCAGCAGACTGTCAACAAGCCACGTCTCCCTTGTGGTGATTTGGAGGCATGAAGTTTGAGAAACCCTGCTTGGGTCTTGCTTTTCAAAGTATCATCCAGCAGCCCAGGTATCCCTTGGGAGTTTGATAGACATTCAGAACCTCAGGCTCTGCCTCCTGAATCAGAGTCTGCACCTGAACAAGATCTGCAGGCCGTTTGTGTGCGTGACACTCAGAAGAGCTCCTTCAGGGCATTTTCCTAAAACATCAGCATCTGGAGGCAGCTCACTGTTCACGGCCTCATCATCCTCCCAAGCGCAACTGCTCCTCCTAAGTGCAGATTTGCGGCTGTATGTTCCTCAGAGCCCATGACCCCATGATCCCAAGTGTCTATTAAAATGCATATCCTCGCCTGGGATCCCAGCAGCTCAGGAGGCTGAGGCAGGAGGATCACAAGTTCAAAGCCAGCCTCAGCAATGGTGAGACACTAAGCAACTCAGTGAGACCCTGTCTCTACATAAAATACAAAATAGGGCTGGGAATGTGCCTCAGTGGTCAAGTGCCCCTGAGTTCAATCCCCCATATGGGGGGGAAAAAAAAAAGCATATCCTTAGGTTCTTTCTCGCACTTTCTACTTTCTGAATCATAATCTCTGTGGCTATAAGGAAGAATGAGTGAAGCCACATGCCTGCTAGACTCCCCACAACTGTTTGCCCCATAAAATTGGCAGGTGCACAGGGATGGACTCTATCTAGGGATGGCCAGAGTCCTGCAGGTGCAGGGACAGCTGCGCTCCCTGGCAGGGGTCACACTGCAAGGCCTTGGTAGCTGGGGAGGGGTTGCTGGCAAAAGCAAACACTTCTTCCTGCAGCTTCCTGCCTGCCATGTCAGGCTGTCAGCTCTTAAGAAGGCCAAAGCAGAGTCGCTGCTCTCTTGCCCTCCTCTGCCTCCCCCCACACCCCAGGCATAGAAAGGGAGACAGCCCCCCATGGTGATACAAAAGCAGACATCTGGGTCCGGTCAGTGTGGATTAGCACATGGCACTCTTTGTGGCCTCTGGCACCTACAGCTCCTCTGTCCGCAGCCTCTGCTCAGACTGTGAAACAAACTGCATGTGAAGTCTCACTCATCGCCTCTTTTGAGCTGCACCATTTTCTACCTCGTACTGCTTGAGGGTTAGCCAAGTCCTGGTCCTACTCCGTCAAAGGTGTTGTGGGAGAGACCACCTCCCTGGTGTCATGTTAAAGTAGACCGCGCCATGGCCTCAGCTCCGCTGAGAGGTCCAGCTGGCTGCCCACCTTGTAGACCCAGCAGCCCTCAGCAGCATGGGGCAGCAGGAAGTAGGGATCTTGGCTAAAACAAATCATCTCAGGCCCAAAGTCCTGCCTCCTCCCAGGCCGGATGGCAGAGCGGGAGTCCTCAGATCTGCCACCCTGTGGATGTAGCTTAAGATCTGTTGGCACCAGCTGCTCTCAGAACGTCCCCTGGGCCCACGAGGCAGCTACACCATGGGTAAAAAAGGCTTGTCAGTGTTTCCCCGGGGCCTGCCTGCCTGTCTTCTCTCTGGGTGGCACAGAAAGGGACACAGCCCCCCATGGTGATACAAAAGCAGACATCTGGGCCCCTCCCCTCTGCCTTCTGCTCCTCTCCTGACAGGCTGTGGCCCTTGCTGGGCGAAAGCCTCTGCGTCCAGTCCATCTTCACTCACCCCTGACCACTCTTCACAGCCAGCGCTTGCCGGGCGCCTTCCCTGCCTGGACTTCGATAGCAGGAAGGGCCCAGGGGGCACATTCATGAGCACAAACAGGCCAGCCCATCTCTGCCAGCCTGCCTTGCCTCATCTGCAGGCAGGGACAGCAGTTTCTCCCCTGGATTCAGGGTTTGCTGTGGTCACCTCCCGCCAGGTGCCCGTCCTCCTGCCACTTGGTCCACTCCAATCCTGGCTGCACGCTGCCTCCCTCACCCCTTGCCCTCCAGCCTGCTGGACCACTTCTTGCTCGTGCCCAGGCGTCAGAAGATGCTGCTCAGGGAGGTTGACCAGTGGGCCACAGGGTGCAGGGCAGGGGTGAGCTGGCCAGGGAGAGCTTGCCACCATTGTCCTTCTGAAGGATTGTGAGTGACTGGCCCCAGTGCAACTGTGCACCAGCCCCTCCCCCTCGCCATACACACAACTTGAAGCATGCTGATCTGTCACTTCTGCCCCTGCTCTTGGGTCCCATTTGGCTCACAAATCATCTCTGCTGAGGAGGTAATCGACAGGTGAGGGACTTCCCACTTGGCACTTTAGGGATGGTGGGAAAGGTACTGCTTGGGGACCTGAAGATCTATGTTCAGATTCCAGCTTTGCCACTTAGTATCTGCATGTGGTCCTGACACTGGAAATGCCTCCTCAGCTGAGAAGTGAGAATAGTCCTCATCTGTATCCTCCCCACCCTCGTCAGAGGATCCAGTGGTGGCAGTGCACTGTTATAAAGTGGCAGGTCCTTCTGTGAACTTCTAGAAGATGGTCAACTCTTTCCCATGTGAGTGTGTGTTTAAAGGAGCCCCTTAAGTCATGGCTGCATAGATAATTATGAGGACCCCCCACAGGCACACGTGATGCCTTCTGGTTACAAAGCTCCTTCCCCATGTGCTGCGCCTGATCCCCCAGGCACCTGCTCAGGAAGACCAGGGAACAGAAGCCACGTGGCGTTTTAAGTGAAAGGGATATGCGGGGACTTAGGTGCTTACAAGAGCATCGATGCCATCGCAGGGGTTGCAGCCTCGACCACCAGTTACTCAGAAAGCCGCCACTGGAAAGCTTCAGTGGAGGGAGTGACTCCCATCATCAGGAAGGCAGAGAACGGGAGGCCATAGGGCAACATTGGAGGCCGAGACGTTTGGCAGAGCTGCGTGGGGGAGTCTGGAGGCTGCTGCAGCTGGGCGTGGCTCTGGGACACTGAGGCAGAAACCCACACCTGCTACCACTCCAGCTTTGACTGACTGATCCTAACTGCAAAGGCTCAAGGGAGTGTGGGCTTATCTTTCCAGCAAGGTGTTCAGTCTCTCAGAGTCTCCAGTCCTCCTCTGGAAAATGGGGAGAATAACAGACCACAGGGGAGACACGGAGGGCAGGTCGGAGCAGGGCCTGCCGAATCGAATCATGGACTGTTAGACTTGGGCAAGACCTTGGGGAGTTGCCCATGGTCCCACAGTGACCCTGATGTAGTGTAAAAGATTAAAGCTAGCAGCTGGGGCAGTACAGAATGGCAGGCTGGGTGCCGCGCAGTGGTAGAGTACTTACCTAGCATGTGTGAGGCCCTGGGTTTGATCCCCGGCACCACAGAAAAACAAAACAACAGCAAAAAGAAAAACAGAATGGCAGTCTGCCGCCAGGACCTGGCAGTTAGTGGAAAATGAAGAGAGAGAGAGACAGACCTCGACGGATCAGCCATGCTTTATTAAGCACATTTTCAAGAGAAAAAATGGCAAGTGGTACAAGAGGGATCTGAGCTTTATAGGGTTTAGTGAGACTGATTCACAGCAGAATGTGTTGGGCAGTCGGGGGGACAGTTGTAGATGCAGGATACTGAGGGAGTCCAGAGCCCATGTTTTCCTTCTGTCCCTGGAACCCATTGTCCTCCTTTTCTTCCTGGGGCCTGGGACATGTGTTTAAAAGGATATTTCCATATCCTTCAGTGGGGGTCCTTCTTCCTTCCCTCTCGGTCTTTCATGCATCATCTGTAAAAGGGATTTGAGATGGTCACTTGGTATCTGAGAAGAGGTGGTGGCCATGGTGCATCCTCCAAGCCTGGCAAGGATGTGACTAGACAGGGACCCTCTGGGCGGGTACATCTGGAAGACAAAACCAAACCACAGCACTTCTCTCCTGTCCCTGGATCTGGGTCTCCTGTCTTGGAGGGGAAAAGGCAGCTCCGCCTCCCTGGGCATGGGATTGGCATTTCCCCCTGAGCACAGCCCACTTCCCAGGGAAGGATGACTTGCCCTCCCAGCTGGTGGCCTCCTTCGTCACAGCAGACGCAGCCCCTCTGCACTGCAATCCCTGGCCCAGCACCCACAGAGCGCTGGATTGTGCCCACAGGTGATGCACAATTGGTGGGGGTGTCCTTCAGGCGGAGGCGGTCATTAGTGCTGGGAGCACCTGCTGGTTGTGCAGCCTTGCCCACAGGGGGGCCTGGGGGAGAGCAGACAGGCTTCAACAGCCATGAGTACAAATAAGACGGAGCCCCCCTGCTTGAGGCCAAGAGCAGCTCCTGTTTGCAGCCCCTGCCCGTCATGCGTCCACCCACGGGGAACTAGCAATCCTAGTCCGGGCAAAAGACATTTCATATACTTTGTCTCTGCCTAAATGGCACTCTGTGTGCCAACCACTGTGGTGAGGTGAAGCCTTGATAAACCAGAACTTCCAATTCTCCGGGATCCTGTTGGCAGTCTGCTGGAAGTCCACCAGCAAACAGTAAGAAATTCTTTGACACTTGTTTAAAATACAACAAAACACTTCCAAGCTCTGTTCACCTGCCAGTCTCCCACACCCCCGCCCCGGCTCTGTCTAGACTGCTGGAGAGCAGCCTCGCGCTCTGGGTCTTTGAGCCCAGCCTGGCAGGGATGCCTTCATCAGATGTGAGAGGCTGGCGGAGGCACGGACGTGGCTTCAGGCTGAAGGTCCTACTTGGTGCCAGGCACTGAGCTGAGACACAAAGATAAACAAGGCACATGCTCTGCTCTTGCAGGGCTCCTGGCACCAGGGGGGCCACGATAGCTGGTGTTTGGTGACCGTCCAGTTTCTGCTCAGCTTTTCTCTATAAGCTCTCTTCAAGGATGCTCTTATTTAACCTTCCCTACCACCTTGAGGCACAGGGAGGTTAAAGAACTTGGTCAAGGGCTGGGGATGTGGCTCAAGTGGTAGCGTGCTCGCCTGGCATGCGTGTGGCCCGGATTCGATCCTCAGCACCACATACAAACAAAGATGTTGTGTTCACTGAAAACTAAAAAATAAATATTAAAATTCTCTCTCTCTCCTTAAAAAAAAAAAAAAAGAACTTGGTCGAGGTCATATCGTGTGGGCAGAGCCAGGATTCCAACGCAAGCAATCTCACTCTAGATCCCCAGCTATTCAGCAAGCGCTTTGAGCAGGGAAAGGAGGGTTTCACACATTAACTGCAGGAAGATTGAAAGCCACAGGGAGGTTATGGAGGAAGCATGTGACTAGTCGGAAGGAGGCTCCCTTGGGGTGGAGGGAATGGTGGAGGGTAATGAGGCAGGTTTCCCAAGGCCCCATAGGGACGCAGTCGTGCACAGAGAGCCAGTGGGGTAGAGCATCCCAGGGTGAAAATGCTCTGCAAGGATTTTCTTTTCTTTTTTTTTTTTTAATTTTTTATTGTTGGTTGTTCAAAACATTACAAATTTCTTGACATATCATATTCCACACTTTGATTCAAGTGGGTTATGAACTCCCACATTCACCCCATACACAGATTGCAGAATCACATCAGTTACACATCCATTGATTTACATATTGCCATACTAGTGTCTGTTGTGCTCCGCTGCCTTTTCCATCCTCCACCATCCCCCCTCCCCTCCTCTCCCCTCCCCTCCCCTCCTCTCTCTCTACCCCCTCCACTGTATAACCCTGAGGGTCTCCTTCCATTTCCATGCAATTTCCCTTCTCTCTCCCCTTCCCTCCCACCTCTCATCCCTGTTAAATGTTAATCTTCTTCTCATGCTCTTCGTCCCTACTCTGTTCTTAGTTACTCTCCTTATATCAAAGAAGACATTTGGCATTTGTTTTCTAGGGATTGGCTAGCTTCACTTAGCATAATCTGCTCTAATGCCATCCATTTCCCTGCAAATTCTATGATTTTGTCATTTTTTAATGCAGAGTAATACTCCATTGTGTATAAATGCCACTTTTTTTTTATCCATTTGTCTATTGAAGGGCATCTAGGTTGGTTGCACAGTCTAGCTATTGTGAATTGTGCTGCTATGAACATCGATGTAGCAGTGTCCCTGTAGCATGCTCTTTTTAGGTCTTTAGGGAATAGACCAAGAAGGGGAATAGCTGGGTCAAATGGTGGCTCCATTCCCAGCTTTCCAAGAAATCTCCATACTGCTTTCCAAATTGGCTGCACCAATTTGCAGTCCCACCAGCAATGAACAAGTGTACCCTTTTCCCCACATCCTCGCCAGCACTTGTTGTTGTTTGACTTCATAATGGCTGCCAATCTTACTGGAGTGAGATGGTATCTTAGGGTGGTTTTGATTTGCATTTCTCTGACAGCTAGAGATGGTGAGCATTTTTTCATGTACTTGTTGATTGACTGTATGTCCTCCTCTGAGAAGTGTCTGTTCAGGTCCTTGGCCCATTTGTTGATTGGGTTGTTTGTTCTCTTATTGTCTAATTTTTTGAGTTCTTTGTATACTCTGGATATTAGGGCTCTATCTGAAGTGTGAGGAGTAAAGATTTGTTCCCAGGGTGTAGGCTCCCTATTTACCTCTCTTATTGTTTCTTTTGCTGAGAAAAAACTTTTTAGTTTGAGTAAGTCCCATTTGTTGATTCTAGTTATTAACTTTTGTGCTATGGGTGTCCTATTGAGGAATTTGGAGCCCGACCCCACCGACTGTAGATCGTAGCCAACTTTTTCTTCTATCAGACGGCGTGTCTCTGATTTGATATCAAGCTCCTTGATCCATTTTGAATTAACTTTTGGCTCTGCAAGGATTTTCACCAGATTCTCTCATAATCTTCACCGAGAATATCAGTGGTGCTCAAATTGCTGACATTCAAATTATCTGGCAAGCTTTTAAGCACCATGTCCCAGACCGTATCCCATGCTAATTCAATCAGAATCTTTAATGGTGGGATTCAGGGTTCATGATTCTTTAAAACCCTCCACATGATTCCAATGAGCAGGGAAGACAGCCACTGAGCTAGACTAGAATCTTCCATCAACAAGCACCTTCTGCCCCAGCCAGAGGGTCTCTCTTTCTTACTTGGAGGCGTACCTACCCAGAGGGAGTACCATAAACATACACTGCTCAGACCTCATTCCAGCCCCCACAGACGCTGTAAAACCAGCCCCCCTGTGTCTTTGGGGGCGTGCATGTAGCTACCTCTGGAGAAGAGTGACAAGCCCAGCCATGGGAGCTGACAGTTGACTGAAGTGTGACAGAGCTGAGCTCTGGGGACATGCCTCTTATTTCCTTCACCTGTTTGTCCCCAGATCCTAAGCATGGTGCTCTGCTGCCCCAGGCCCCAGAACCCCCTTCCCTAGTTCCCCTTAGCATAGCCTGCTCACTTGGAATTTCTAGAAGAATGATTATTATTAAACATAAGACAGCTAAGAATACAGATAGCAAAACCGTGGGCCAATCCCCAAGTAGGTAAGTTTATGCCAAAGAATCTCAGCATACGTGGAGGGGAAGCAGCCTTAGCTTTGGCCCGAGACCCTACCTGGGTGGGCTACACAAGCTGGCCCAGCCGTTGGAGTGCAGAGGTCCTCGTGGTACTTGCTTGAAATCAGCTACAGTGACAGTGAGGCTGTGGAAATTGAAAATGGACCAATGCTTCAAATCAGGGTTGATTTGTTTTTCCCCAGGAGTGGACTGTTACGTATTAGCCAGCGTGCCAATGGCTAGTCCTCCTCACCACCTGCCCTGGGTTCTGAGCCTTGGCGTCATTGGTGTCCTGGCCACTTCCCTCAGTCTGCACCCCCATCCCCAGCCCATCTCCCCTTCAGCTCATCTTATTTTCTGGGAGCAGGTCCCTGGGTGGTGCCTGCACTCATCCCACCTGCTGGTTAACCCCGGCCCTTTTCTTCTTTTTCCAATTGTGAGGGAGGCCTTATTTCTCTGAGAGACTGGTACAATTGAATCAGCAACTTTAATTCCCGAGCACGGAGGATTTAGGAAGGAGCCAGCCACATCCCAGGAGAGGCCGTTACCTCTCCACCCTGCGTCCCTGTTCTCCTGCAGACCCAGGCACTTGGCATCCGCCAGCAGATTAGGCGGTTCTCATCCTGAGGTGAGATGTGTGTGCACGCACATGCGCGCGCGCGCACACACACACACACACACACACCATCAGCCATGAGAGGGGGAATGGCAAACACTTGAGAGGAGACAGGAAAATTCTCATTCTTTCTGAGGTCCTCCCCAGAGCCTGTCAGCCAGAGCCTGGGGGGGTTGGGAGGGGCACAGTCCTCCCAGCCTCCCAGCAGCGGGAGGGCAGAGTGGCTGCAGCGGAGGAGGGGAGTGTGCAGGATGGGAGGTTAGATAAGGGCCAGGCCTGGGCCCGGCAATTTGAGTTACTCATTTGGCTGTCTCCAGAGAGGCTGAGAAGACCCTGTTGCCTCTGAAAGGAACAGTTGTGATTGGGCCTTGATTGCATGTCACATCTGAAATGAGGAGTCTCCGGAAGGAAGGCCGTGGCCGACAGGCCCACTCCATGCTCCACTGCCCAACTTTGAAGCACAAGCCAGGGCTTTTCTCCTTCATTTTTCTTGCCCTGCCTCTTGCCCTTCAGGGGACAAGAGTGTTTCTGAGTCATTAGTGGATCCTTGGAACACACGGGCTCTTCTGTCCTTTCAGCAAGGCCGCCCACCACACTCTCAGCATCTAGGTAACCGCATCCTCCTTAGAGAGCACCCTAGGGTCCCCTTCACGTCCCCACAGCCCATGAGCAGAAGGGCCATCCTAAAGATGAGAGGAGAGGTTCAGAACCTTGCCTGAGGTTGCAAAGCTTTAAATGACAAACCCAAACTGGGGCCTGGGTCTCTAGCTCTGGCCTGTTCAGCAGTAGACTTAGGCCTCCCCCCCACCCCCAGCTTTCCCTGGAGACTGGAACTCAGCTTGCAGGATCATCAGGGGCCCAGCACATCTTCTGTGGTCCCTAAGGGCAGCGGCTATTCTATTTCTGTTGACTTCCTGCCCCACCCCCACTGGGCTGCTCGGTCCAGGGACTTGTGAAGGTGGGGGAGGCTTAGTCACTGCCCCTACCTGGCTCCCGGCCAGCCAGGAATGCGTGGTATGAGTGTGGCCCAGAAGTGTCCCTGCCAGGTTCCATAGTTTGCCTGCTTGACTCCTGTGGCATTTTGTCATTTTCCCATGTCATTCAGCTCAGCAGGACAACCTTGATCTTAGTGGTTTTGGTCTCCAGGACCAAGAACTACACTGAGGCTGAGGTGCGGGTCAGCCCTGGTTGGAATCAGAGGCTGGCTGACCTCTGCTAGGTGGCCTCTGTGCTGGGAGATCACCACCTCTTGCCACACTCCTGGGCTCAGACTCAGACTTAGTGCCCCTTGGACCTTGGGGATCCACAGATGAAGTACAGCATCCTGAGCATTTTTGTCTTGCTTCTTGGCTGGTCCCACTGGCATGAAACGAGTTTACCAGTCAATATTGCTAATGATCAGTGAGAGGAGTCAGGCTTTCCCCAGTGAAGTAGTGTTCTGTAAATACTGCCCATGCGATTCTGCTCCTGTCGATTACTCTAAGCTTCCCGCAGATACAGGAGCCCAGGGTGGCTGGCTGCACTGGGAGGAGGGTCAAATGAGGTGTGCCATCTATCCTGGTTACAGTCCTTCTTCTCTGCCATGGGACAGTGAGTCTTCAGCCTTACTCCTCACCCAGGACCCAAGGCTTTGAGTGGAAGCCTGTTACCCACCCTCTCCATATACTTGGGGACCACAGGAAAGTTAGGGAATCTTCCTCTGGCTTCATAAAAAGATTCTAGACCCTCACATTCTACATTCTGCAGTCATTGGCTGAAAGAGATGGAGCAAACCCCAGAAGCCTTGTGGACTCCTAGCCTCTCATAATCCGGATTAGTGAAAAGTTGAAAACAAGCCCACTGCCCAACAATGGAAGCAGGTGGCACAACCCATAGCATGAATCTGATGGGACCATAAAAATGTCACCAATTTATAAGTTGAAAAGATAATTACAACATGTTATGAAGACAAGCATGTTATGGCATGGTATCCACGAGGCCGTTTTAGAAGTGTGTGAGTGTGTGTGTGTGTGTGTACGCATGTGTGTGCATAGATTCTCATAAACACATTAAACAGTTGGAGCCGGCATAGTGGCGCACACCTGTAATCCCAGCAGCTTGGGAGGCTGAGACAGGAGGATCACAAGTTCAAAGCCAGCCTCAGCAAAAGCAAGGCATTAAACAACTCAGCAAGACCCTGGCTCTAAATCAAATACAAAATAAGGCTGGGGATGTGGTTCAGGGTGCCCCTGAGTTCAATCCCCAGTACCTACTCGCCCCCCCACAAAAAATTTGGGCAGGCCACCTACCAGCACATTCGCAGCGATTAATTCCAGATAATAGAACATAATGACTTATTTTTGCTCGTCAGTATTTTCTCACTCTCTGAGTTGGATCACTAATGCTAAAAGGCCCATGTCCTGTCACAACTTTGGCCCCTTGAGACCTGGCCCCTGTCTGGAAAATGTGCACAGAATGGGTCTGACTGGGGATGGGTTCCAACTCTTGAACGTAGCTGTGGTCAGAGTTGAGGAAGCAGCAGTGATGGTCGGGCCTCTGTGCACCTAGCGCTGGGTGGTCTCCAGCATGAAGAGACTCATGGTCTAGTTTGGGGGCTACGACCATTCATTCATTCACCCAGTAAGCACTGAGCACCCCAGGGCACTGTCCTAGGTATCACATTCACAGAGGGAACAAACATGCACGAGTTGCCATGTGCCCCGCGCTGGAGTGTGGTATAAAGTGCTAGGAAGTTTGGAGGTGGACCAAGGGGCCTTTGAGCAGGGATTTGAGGAGCAGCAGGACATGAGTGTTTGGGGCTGGGAGTGGCCCACTTACTGAGGGGAGAGTGGAGATTCCTCTCCAGGTGGACCAAAGACCTGCTTCGTGACCATGGGGCTGCTGTGTGTGCTCTGTGGCCAGGGGAGGGTGTTTAACCCCTCCAAACTTCGCTTTTCCCATCTGCCAAATTCAATTCCCCTTCAATTCTCCTTCCCCTCCCCCACTCTCTAGCCATGGCCCCCTCTTGTCGAGATGCTGTGAAGATAAGTGGTCTTTAAACCTCATCTGGAAACTCCCTCTTGGCCTCCTGGGCTTACCCCTTGCTGTTTCGCTCTGCCAGCTTTGACGCATCTGATTTAAATTGCCTGAGTGACTTCAGCGGTTCAAACGGGAAAGAAATGGGAAAGAGATGCAGCTACTGCCTGCTTTGCACCTATGAGAGCCTCCATTGTCCTTTAGCAGCGTGGGTCAGAAGAGGCCACTGACCTGGAGAGGCTAGTTCCGTGTAGATGTGGAAAGAGAGGCTGAGACCCAGGTGGTGCGTGCTCCAAGGCTGGGCTGTCCCCTGTCTGTGCGCCATGCTCTGCAACACCAGCACTCCAGGGAAACTTTCCTGCCCTCAGGAGCCCAGCCACTCTGCAGGCTGCTGGCCTCCCTGGCTGAGGGACAGAGGAGTCAGAGTCCAACAGGGGAGGAGTCCTCACCAACTCCCCGGTTCAGCCCCCTCTGGAGAAACTGAGCCAGGACAAGTAGTCCCCAGTGTCAGAAGAGGAGACCGAGTGGAGAAGCAGGTCTAAGCCCCCATCTCTGAGTTCGGGTGTCTTGAAAGTCAAGGTCAGGAGGCCCTCAGCCAGGCTCCAGCCCAAGTTGAGTGGCTTGGTGCGACCTGCCTGTCCTGATCACTTCTGGGGACTGCAGGTCAGTGAAAGGAGCAGACTTTGGCCTTGGCTTGCCCCCCCCCACCCCCCCCACCCCCAGTGCATGCTGAGCACATGGGCTTTAGGATCGGGAACTCCTGCCCCCATTCCTCACTGGCTTGGTGGCCTTGGCCACCAAGAATCTGAGGTTCAGTTTCCTTATCTGCAAGGTGGATCCCTGTGAGGAACCACCTAGAATAGGACCTCAAATATCGGTTCCCAGGGGTTCCTCTTTTTTTTTTAATATTTTTTAGAAGTTGCTTCCTCCCACCATGCCTCAGTGTCCTCAACTTTGAGGGTCCTCCCAACTCTGATGGTCTCTCTCGTGATCTCTGCACCCCGGGCAACAGCCCATGAGCATGAGGGCTTCAAGGAACTCTTTGGCTGGGTCTCTCAGATTCCAGCAAGGCCAGTCGGGGGCTCTGACCTCCTGTGGGCGGTGGTGAGGGAGCTGTGGCACTTCCAGGAGAAAACCAAGGCTAGCCCTCCTCTTTCTCACATTAGCGGTCAGCTCAGACTAGTTGCTGGACCAGCTCTGTGGACTTGTCCCTTGGGTCTTGGGTGGTGCTGCTCTGCTGGCCCTAGACTAGTAACAGGGAGCAAGGAACTGACCCTTGTTGAATGTCTATTGCTGGCCGACTGCACGCGGGCATCTTGTTGATTTCCGGTGGCCTCCCTGCAAAGTGGGCAGTATGACCTCATTTTACAGGTGAGACACCTCAGGCTCAGAGACCCTGCTTAAAGCAGTTCAGTCCTAGAAAAGTCAGGAAAAGTCAGTCTGTAGGACTCCAAAGATCAGCTCGTGCATCTTCACCACCACCCAGTCCCCACCTCGCCCAAAGAAGGTAGTGGTATTATTGGGCTGCAGGCTGCAAAAGTATCCAGGACAAAAAGGCACAGATTTGTTCTATCCTGGGATCCAGAGCAGAACAAGGAGGCACAGAAGATTCTGGAATCAATTTGAGTACATTTCCAGGAAAATCAGAAGATGCCTATAACTGGGAACTTACAGGGAACTGAAACCCTGTAATGCTGTCCTCGCTTCTCTTGGAGAAAATGTCCTTGGGCTGTGGAGGGGGTCGTTCCTAGCTAGGTGGCCCAAGGAACCAAGAGCTTTGATTGAACCCAGGGGTGCTTTACCCTGAGCCACATCTCTAGTCTTTTTTATTTTTTATTTGGAGACAGAGTTTTGCTAAGTTGCTGAGGCTGACCTCAAACTTAGGATCCTCCTGCCTCAGCCTCCTGACTCATTGCTCCTTTGATGGAGCTATCCATTCTGTCCCTGGGATTACAGGTGTGAGCCACTGTGCCTGGGGAAGCCAAACACTCTTGTAGGGCCCAAGAAACCCTGTAGACACAGACTGGTTTCTTCCTTCCTTCCTTCCTTTCTTTCTTTTCTGTTTCAGTTTGGGTTTTTATTATTGTTGTTTGTTTGTTTTTTAAGTTTTTGACATGCCATGTGACCCATAGACTGTTTTCTGTCTCCCTTAACTTAGGGGACTCCTTGGAGGGTTCTCAGGCTGCAGGAGGGTGGCACATGCCAGGCTGGGTACCCGTGGATGATGGCGTACTGGGCCTGGGTCTGGCCCAGCCTGGCTGGCTACATTCTCTTCCAGCACTAGCCCCTGGCAGTGTTCCCTTGGGTAAGTCACTTAACCTCTCTGTCCTTCATTCTTACTTGTCAGATGGAGATAATGACAGTGCTCCTCATTCTGCCGTTGTGAGGAGTCAGTAAGTTCATTGACACAAAGAGCGCACTCAGGCACTCATACGTTACTTATAAAACCACCACCAACAACAAAACTTGACCCAGCGCGGAGATCCAAGGCCCAGAGCCCTGTAGGCTCCCACTGTATGGGAAGCCCCATCGGCAAGGAGCCGCCTGCCCATTCAGGGTTAAGCCTTTGGGTTGCTCTCTCCCCTCCACACTCACCTCGCCTGGTCCATCATGAACATTATGGAGCATCCTCTGAGCTAGGTGGCAGCACAGCCCAGCCCTGCTTCTTAACGGCCGTGCGTCATTGAGACAGATTTTTCCAGCCTCAGTCTCCTCGTCTGTAAAGTGGGTAGAAGAACACCTGTGGGGCTGTCCCCACGGCTGCGGAGGATCAAGCCTGGAAGTGCTTCGTAAACCTGAGTGTGGGTGCAGATATGAGAAACTGTCCTGAGCGCGTGGCTTCCCCTTGCCCTCACCCCCCAAGAGAGGTAGCAAGTAGCTACATCCAACCAGTTACCAAGCCCAGCGAGGAGGACGGTGTCTGTCTTCAGGTGGGCTCTGTCCAGAGGGTAGAAGGCAGAGCCCACCCTGTTCCTGGGTGGTGGAGCCCCAGGCACTACCACCCCTTCCTGTGGTGCACAAGGCACGGGGAGGGGAGGAGATTGCAGAAACATGCTGAAGGTCAGGGTCTCGGTGTGCGTCGGCCTGGAGGGGGGTGGGCAGGTCTAGGCGGTCTCTGTTGGAAGCCCCTGGAGAGGAAGCGTGGCTGGGGTTCCCAGTAGACTTGGCGGGCATTCTAGAGACCAGTTAGGCAGAGTACACACACATCCTTTGATGGAGCAGTCCATTCTGCCCCTGGACATCCGTGTGAAGACATTCTCCTTAGGAACAGATGGGGGCCCCCTGAGTGTCCGTGCTGGCACAGTAGAGAGGAAGCAAGGGGGACACACTGCATTGGACATTCAAAGGCAGCGGTGTGTGTGCATGGGGCCTTGGGGCTGGGTGGGACACCACGCAGCACTGTTATACCAGGCATGAATACCCTTCCCCTGAGGGGACCCAGACTTATTGGAGAGATGGCTGGCCCTGGGGCTGCCGCAGGGGAAGGCTCACAGTGAGACTACTAGAAAGTAATGAAGTAGCCAGGCACGCTGGTGCACACCTGTAATCCCAGTGGCTCTGGAGGCTGAGACAGAAGGATCACAAGTTCATGGCCAACCTCAGCAAATTACCGAGGCCCTAGGCAACTTGGTGAGACTCTGTCTCAAAATGAAAAATAATAAGGGCTGGGGATATAGCTCAGTGATAGATTGTCCCTGGGTTAAATCCCCAGTATACAATCAATCAACCAAGGAAGGAAGGAAGTATATCCCCCAAATGCTGGAAGCATGTCAAAATCACAGGAAGGGCCAGTGGTAGACCGTATTCCTGGCACGTACAGGGCCTGGGTTCAGTGCCTAGCACTGAAGGAAAAACAGACACAGGACCCAGGTTGACAGGGTTCCCACTGGACAACCCTGGGACAATTTCAGCACCAAATAAATGCTAGTTAAATTGTAAATCACTAGATGCGCAGGATTCCATATTGATAATAAATAGAAGAGGGAAGGCTGGCTTTCCTTAGAGTGTCAAGGTTCTGTTCGTGAGGGAAAGATCATAATTTTGCAAACACCATAAAGATCAGATTGGCAAGAATCAGCAGTGGATGCTAAATCCAGGGCAATGGAGGCTAAATGTTGGTGAGCAGCAGGATATTTACATATTTACATGCTCTTGAGAGTATTCCCACAGACTTCTTGATGGGGGGGACGACACAGCAGTAATTGTGCAGTGGAGAAATGGAGAAATCGCGCACCACTCTGACAAGTGATCAGAACACAAATTAAAGATGGACTCCATGTGCCCCTCAGCGTGATGTCCCAAGGAGGACACCCGCTGTGCAGTCCTTCAGGCTGAGGATGCCTCCCCCCTGCCCCCATCTCATCATGACAAACACCAAATCAAAGAACCTTCATCTTTCAGATTAGGAAAGTAAGACCCAGGGCAGGTGGTAGAGTTGGTGAAGCCGGGGCCCCAGTTGGGTTTATTAATTTCCGAGTCTGTCCTATGCTACGCTGCCTCTTCATTTAGAAATCTGTCTGTTGGACCTTGAATTAATCAGATCATTATATTTGTTACCAAGTGGCATTTTGGATGAGTCCTGAGAAATGCCCTAGTATCTTTACATAAATTGAGTGGCTGACAATTTGAAGCTTGATTTCCACTAGAGCAGTAACAGGAGATCGGTTTGTTTTGATTCCAGAGAACATTTCACCCTTGGATGTTGACCCCAGGCCCAGCTGGGAACTTCCACAGAGCTTGGACAGGGCAGTGACATAGGACCGGCGCGGTGTCCAGGGTCCAGAGTCCTGGCAAAGCCAAGTTTTAACTGACTTCCTTCGGTGAAGCCACGTTAATTCTTGCTCCTCCTGTGGGGACTCCTCAGGGGCATAATGGACCTGATTATGTGATAGAGAATGGTGTTCCCATGGTTAATAAGAATCTCCACTTGCATAAAGCAAATGATATCCTATGCTTTTATAACCATGTCAAAATGAATTCTAATGTTATCTATAACAAAAAAGATCTAAAAAAATTATTTTTTCCACAGGCACCCTCTTTTCTCTCAGTAGAAGTGTTCTTAACTTCATGCGTATAATATTCTTGGAGATGTTAAGATATGATTCACTTTTTTGTTTGGTACTGAGGTGCTTAATCACTGAACTACATCCCCAGTGCTTTTTATTTTATTTTATTTATTTTTTAAAATGTTTTTTTAGTTGTAGAGGGACACACGATATCTTTGTTTATTAACTTATTTTTCATGCGGTGCTGAGGATGATCCCAGTGCCTCACACATGCTAGGCAAGCGCTCTGCCCCTGAGCCCCAGCCCCAGCCCCCCTTTTTATTTATTTATTAATTTTTAGTTCTCGGCGGACACAACATCTTTGTTTGTATGTGGTGCTGAGGATCGAACCCGGGCCGCAGGCATGCCAGGCGAGCGCGCTACCGCTTGAGCCACATCCCCAGCACCCCCTTTTTGTTTTTTATCTTGAGACAAGGTTTTGCTAAGTTGCTGATGGACTTGCTAAGATGCAAGAGACTAGCCCCTGAATTTGAGATCCTCTTGCCTCAGCCTCCAAATGACTGGGATTACTGGCATGCACCACTGCGCCCTGCTAAGATGTAATTCACATGCTATACATTTCACACATTTGAATTGTACAATTCAGTGGGCATAGCATAGCACAGTGTTAATTTTTAAAATTTTGACACTATAAAGAACAAAGTTTGCCATTTTCTTAAAAAAATATTTTTTTAGTTGTCAATAGATCTTTATTTATGTGTGGTGCTGAGAATCAAACCCTGTGCTTCACACATGCTAGGCAAGCGCTCTACCACTGAGCTATGACCCCAGCCCCAAATTTGCCATTTTACATTTTTAAGCCTGTCACTCAGTGGCATTAATTACCTTGATGGTGCCATGTACTTATTATCACTGTCCATTTCCAAACTGTTTCTGTCACCTTAACAGAAATTGTAACCACTCCCCATTGCTCCTTCTCCCGACCACTGGTCACCTTGACTGTACTTTCTGAGTTCATGAGTTGGACTATTCTAGATTCCTTATAAATGGATTCACACAGTATTTGCCCTTCTGCACTTGTCTTCTTTCATTAGCATGTCAGACCCGCTGACAATCTGTAATTCCTGGTACAGCAGAGATGCTTAAGAAAGACACATGCACACACACGCATTCAGTAGAAAATGAGCACCGTCTGTACTTTTTTCTCTCCTTCTTTTATACAGCATTGTTAATTAAAACACGGGGAAAGAAAAAACATCCTTTCGGCAGCTTAATCCTTACAAGCATGGATAAACATTCTCAGGAAAACTTTGTATATGGTCACAGTGGTCCATGTTTCTTATCAATTAACTTGTGGTTAGTTATTCCCAGGCAAACACACACACACACACACACACACAAAATTTTACACTTGGCAGATCATTCTTTTATCTTCTTAAGACAGCAACAAGGACACAGTTCGAAGAGTTCATACTTTCTCACAGAACTCCTTGTTTTGCTAAGCACAGCAAAACTTAACACTTTGTGTGCGTGAGCACACATTAGCACAACATTTTCAAGTTTCATCCTTGATAAAACATGTATCAGAATTTTCCCCTTTTTATGGTTGAGTATATTCCATTACGTGCACATACCACATTTTTGTTTCTCCATGAGGCTGTTGTGGATTGTGCTGCTATGAACAGTCACGAAATAGCTTTCGAGGACCCTGTCTTTAACTCTTTCAGTTCCACCTAGAAGTCAGATTGCTGGTTTATGTAGCAATCCTATGTTTAACCTTTGAGAAAGCCAGTTCTTATTTGGAAGGATGCTTCCCTCCATGGCCCTCGGGCACCAGGTGCTGAGCCCCAAGGGCAAGGGGCAGGGAGAGCCGCCCTTCACCGCCATGTGGTCCAAGTCTTGCTGCTGCACTGTCCTCTGCCCTGCCTACCTGCCCCCACCCCCTCTGACCTGTCCCTTTCTCCCCAGCAGATGTGCCCGTGGAGAAGCTGGCCGCCATGCCCGCCCTACGCAGCATCAACCTCCGCTCCAACCCTCTGAATGCCGAGGTGCGCGTGATCGCCCCACCACTCATCAAGTTTGATATGCTCATGTCTCCAGAGGGTGCACGGGCCCCTCCACCTTAGACCACCCTCCTCATTACCATCCCAGGGACAGAGGCCATTGGCCTGTCACCTGAAAGGAGGGAGGCCCATGGGAGGCTAAGCTGGGGGGCTGAGGGTGGGTAGGCCAAACAGAGTGTGGCGGGAGTAGGGTGCAGCGAGTCCAGGATAGCTAGTTTAGAGCAGTAGAGGCCCTGGAGCATTGAGAAGGAGGAGGCTGAGTGGGGGCTGGAGCCTGGATAGTGGGCACACAGCTGCTGTGCAAACTTGGGCAGATCCCCTACCCTCTCTGAGCCTTGTTGCTTGGGAGGAGGGATCCTGGCAGAGGGCTTTGGCCTCCTTTAGAATCCTTGGAGGTTTTAGCTTCAAATCACCAGGCACCCTCTGAGCCCACAGATGAGTGCAGCTGAGCATCTTCTGGGCCTCCGTGGGCTGGAGGCCTTGTTTCTAGTGCTGAGAGCCAATGGCTTCCCTGAGAGGAGTGGAAGACAACCCTCCACCTGCTGCTTCCTGAGAACTGAGGATGAAGCCTTTCGCCATGCCCCTCCTTCACCACCTGGCTCCCTGGGCCGGCAGGAGCCTGAGCGGGAGACCCGAGAAGGCCGTGGCCTCGAACAGGGCAAGACGTTCTGCAGACGCCATGCACCCTGAGGATGGACCCTGGGGAGAAATCAGGGCAGCTCTGTCCTTCCTTTTGATGAAGACTGAGTGGGTAGGAAGTTCTGAGCACTCCACACCTCCCCGGGGAAGGACTGTCCAGCTGTGCCTGGTCCTCACCCCTGAGCTGCAGGAGAGGTGGCCCAGGGACAACAATGCCATTTGTGTCTGTGGCTATGGTCCGAGTAATTAGCTGCCCCCCCCCACGGTCTCTCTCCCTTGTCATGGCCCCTTGGGGGCAGAAGACACTGCGGATCGTTGGCTCCAGAGCTACCACCCTGCTGACCTAGCCATTGTGAGGTCCTCACCTGGAGTCTAGGGTTTGGCCAGGGAGTATGGTGACCAGCCATCCTGGCTTGTCAGGGACTGAAGGTTTCCTGGGATGTGGGGCTTTCAGTGATAAAACTGGGGCAAGTCGAGATGGCAGGCCCCCCACCTGGCTCTTGCTTTCTGGTAAACAGTGCTTTGGAGAACCCCGACTTTCTGATGCCCCAGGTGACTACATCTCACTTTCTCATGGGAGGAACAAGGGCTTCCCCAGAGCCCACCTGCTCTGCACCTAGGTGTGGATCTGTGCAGACCCCTGAGGCCTTGGGCAGAGCTGGGCCACTTACCACACCTACAGTCCGGCTCTCCAGAGGTCTGACCACCAGTCAGAGCAGTAGCCTGTCTCAGAGGCGCCCCATGTGCTTCCCCCTTCCAGGTCTCCTATGTCTTGGCAAGGAGCTGACATTGTTGGTCACTGAATACTTAGTGTCCCAAGAGAGAGACCTTGTCCATTCTGCTCATATCTCAAGGCCTTCCTGTCCTTCTGAAAGAGGGTTTCCAGGGCTGCTGAGTTCAGCTGTGGACACTGGGCAGGTGGGGGCTACAGTGCAGTCCGGGCTGGGCTGCCCCCCACCACCCGTGCTCTGGAGCCGGGTCTCTCCTGGTGGAAGAGGCCATCTCGTGGCCAGAGCCTTGCACCCCGAAGCATGATCTGAGGGCCAGCAACGGCTGCATCACCTGGGAGCTTGTTTGCAACGCAGGATCCTGGGCCCACCGCAGTCTTCCTGCAGCAGAATCCGCATTTTAATAAGATTCCCAGCTGATTCCTACAAGTATGTTATAGTTTGAGAAATGAGGGCCTAGGGGTGACCCTGGGCATGTCCTCGGGTTGGAGGGCAAAGGCTTTCTCGGTTCTCCCCTGCCACCCCCAGGGATGTGAGTCTGGGCTCAGCCTCCTTCCAACCCAGCCCTGGGAGACCCGTAGCCTCTTGGATCTCTCCAGAGTCTGCATGACACTCCCTTTGAAGGGGGTGATCGCATCACCAGGAGATGAGGGTTGGGTGTGCGTGGCCATCTGGATCCTACCTCTGGTTCACCCCTGCATGCCAGGCGGCCTGCTCCAGGTCCTATCCCTGGCCCTGTGATAGGCTGCTTCTGGAAGTTCCTTCTACTCTGCTTAGACAGCAGGCCCTTGCCTCTCTGGGAAAGCGTGGGCAGTCGGAGGAGCTCCCAAATCCAGGCTCACAGTGTGAGCGAGCCCTTAGCTTCAGTCTGCAATAAAGAATGTGTTGGTTCCCTCTGCCTCCAGGTGGTGTTTGATTGGTTCTCCTCACACAGACCACCAGGAGCCCAATGTCACCAGCCCACATGCCAAGAGGGGCTGTTCCTCTGGTGAAAACACAAGGGAAAGGAAGCTCGATGGGGGCACTCAGAATAGCCCCGTGTGGGTGGAGGCACAGTCAAGCGGAGTGGATGCCTCGCCTGAGGAAGGATGAAGGGACCTACTCTCCCCATGACGCCCTTAGTGGTGCCAAACATTTTGTCCATAGTAACTCATTCCTCTGGTCCATGGTTCTCAAAGAAGGGTCTCTGGGGAGGCAGCAGGAGCTCACAAAGGAGCTATTTAGAAATAGAAATCCTCAGGCCAGGTTCGGGGGTGCAGGCCTGTAATCCCAGTGACTAGGGAGGCTGGGGAAGGAGGATCACAGGTTGGAGACTGTAATGAAACCGTTTCATAAAAGAGGAGGGTGGGGCAGACTGGGGATGTAGCTTAGCACCCCAGGTTCAATCCCTAGTACAACAACTAATTTAAAAATATATATATATATATATTTTTTTGTTATAGATGGACACAATATCTTTGTTTTTTTATTTTATGTGGTGCTAAGGATGGAACCCAGGGCCTTGCACCCTGCAAGGCAAGCGCTCTACCACTGAGCTACAGCCCCAGCCCCCAAAAAATAATTTTTAAAAGAAGAAAGGAATACAAATGTGCAGCCCCACCCCAGGCCTGTAGTCAGAAACACAGGGGTGGGGTATTGGAGGGTTAAGCACCCTGTTTGAACAAGCCCCCAGGTGGTTCTGATGTAGTCAGTTAGAGAACCATTGTTCTAGGGCTCAAGGCTTTGAGTCAGGGGGTTTTGTTAGTATTTTTGTCTTTTTGTTTTGTTTTGTTTTGGGTATTGGGGTTTGAACCCACAGATGCTTTACCATTGAGCCACATCCCTAGCCCTTTTCATTTTTTTTTATTTTGAGACAGGGTCTTGCTAAGTGACTAAGGGTCTTGCTACGTTGCTGAAGCTGGCCTCGAACTTGTGATCCTCCTGCCTCAGCCTCCTGAGTTGCTGGAATTATAAGCATGTGACACTGTGCCCAGCCAGGTTTTGTGTTTTAAATCTGAGACCAACTTGAGTCTGCCTTGAATTTGAGGCTAGACAAGTACCAGGCAGAGTCTGGTGCATTGCAGATGGTAACTCATCTGGTTCCTGTAACAGTCCCGCCAGCTTTGTAATCTGGACAAATCCCTTTGCCTCAGGCCTTGTTCCCCATCTATAAAATGAAATGGCTGCCCTAGGACATCCCCAAGGATCTCGTGGCCACTTTTTGGCCGCTGTTTGTTAGATTCTGAAGGCCTTGCTATCATTTACAACTGTCCCCTGTGGATTAGCCCTTCTCTACCCCAAAGATCAAAGAGAGGACTCCTACGTGCTGTTTCCTGTCCAATCCTGGTTCACAAAGATCGCTGGGTCAAGCTCTCCATCTAACAGGGCTAGTCCTGCTGTCCTCTCCCTGCCTTAGGATAATTTCCAATGGCATAGTTTTTCCCAGGGTGTCCAAGTGGGGATGAGACTTCAGAGTCTGGTTCTAGACAGGCCTTTCCACACAGGGAGGAAACCTGGATTGGGATTGGCTAAACATGACATGGCTTAGGGTGAGTGGACACGGCAAGGGGGGATTTGGAGGCTGAGAGCTGGAAGAGTCTTGAGGAATAAACTCTCTTTTGGTGCTGTTGAGAATTCAGCAACTTGGTGTTCCTTTAAAATGACTCTTTCAGAAAGCTCTGGGAACAAACAAAGTTATTTACCACTTTCACTTCCCTTGCAAGAGTTTCCTGGAAGAGTGCACTTAGGTTGAAAAAGATGGTGGAATAATGAAGTTAATGTGGACAGAAAGCTGTGTGGGGCCAAAGGAGATTGTGAGTTTCCCCAAAATACCATGCTGGACACTGGAACCAGGATTTGAAACTGCCCTACCTGAAATGTGCCTGTCCCTTCTCAGAAAGCTAGCCAAGGGGCGGGGTGCACTTCTTGGAGGGTGAGTTGGCAGCCGTCCCAGAGAACCTCAGCAGGGTTCTGGGAGAGTTGCCAACACCAGGAAGGGCAGCCTGGGAGAAGAGCGGGGCTGTGGGCTGCTGGGCAGGAAAACCCTCCAGCCCACAAGTAGCCAGACTGTGCTCCGACTGGTGTCTTAGGGCCTGGCAGCCTGGCCCCACCCAACCCTGGGAGAGGAGAGCCCTCATGGAGGGCCTAGTGTTTCCTGGCCTAGGCAGACACTTGTATCTCGCTCACTTACTTTTAGCAACGCCCATCTTGATGGCTACAGTATAGACTAGGAGCCAGGCTGAGGGGCTTGGCAAGGCACCAGGAAGCAGCAGAGCTCTGGCTGGGTTAGACTCCATGGCTTCGCTGCTGCAAGTCCAGGGCCTTTGCCGTGAGCCCAGCCTCTGAGAGCCCGACCAGAATAGAATAAGTGACTGATCGTTTTCTCCAGCTGACACCCTCTTTCTTCTATTGTGGGTCTGTGATTAGGTCTCTGAGCCTCTCCTAACCTACTCTATAAATGGGTGCTAACAGTGCCTCATGCCTAATGCCAGCACCTCCTGCCAGTTAACCAGCACATACGGAAGGTAAGGACGTCAACTGCCCGCCTACTTCACACATGGACAGCCTCCTTCACAGCCACTCACACCTGCCCTCGGTGGGCACAGCCTTCAGCATCTGCCAAGAGCCTCGCCCCTCTCGTGGCCATGCAGAGCTGATGCTGCATCGCCCTGGGGGCTGAGGGGAGATTTAAACCCACAGGGAATAAGAGATTACAGTTGTCCACTTGTCCCATCCTCATAGCTACGCAGCAGCCCACGTTGGACCTCCCAGGACAATGGATGAGGCCAGGTGCATGAGTCATCCAAACTCAAATCAGCAGAGGCAGCTGCACACCTTATTCACTTCCTGTAGATGGAAAGCACCTAAGTTAAGGTTCCTTCCAGGATGGGCTTGTGAGTCTGCCTCAGTGTTCAGCTCGGGGGTTGTCATTCACAATGCCATCTCCAAAATGGGCACCATTTACAAGAACAGACCCCCTGAAGCTGTGCAAGGGGTAGTACTGCCTCTGGATCATTTATTTATAAGAGGATTGATCAGCTGCAGGCAGATTCCCAAGCTACCTCTGCCCTCAGTAAACAGCTGCATCGCCCTGGGGGCTGAGGTAGGCACCGGGAAGGAGCAGAGCTCTGGCTGGGTTAGACTCCATGGCTTTGCTGCTGCAAGGCCCATACCTCTGCACCTTCACAAAGTATGCAGAGGATCATTCCAGATCATCTGCTGCAAGTCCCAAATGACTCTCCTTCAATGCCGAAGCATCACAATGGTTTTCCAGGATTGCTGTTACCTACCCCCTGTTGCCCCTCTGGTTTCTTTCCCTGCATGCAAAATACACCAGCTCCCAGCCAGTTCCCTGACATCCCAGGAGCACTCATGTCTCAGGGGCTGTGCGTTAAATTCCTTGCCCACAGTCCCATGGCCGACTCCCTTATTCTCTTCAAGTTTTGCTCAAATTAAGACCTACCATAGCCACCCTCCATTCCATCCCCAGCACCTCTCCATCTCCCTTAACTGCTCACCTCTGTCTTCACCCATAGTGCTTATTATCTAATAGACTCCATACTTAATTTTTTCTGTGGCTTCGTGTCTGTTTAATCTTTGTCTTGGTCTCTGCTGTGTCTCCAATTCTTGAGCAATGTGACACATAGTAGGTACACAATGTCTACTTACTGGTTGGCTGAATGAATGCAATGCCACTGGTGTTTGAAGACCTCTGCTTCGGAGAGAATTGCTATCTGATGGGAACTATCAGCTCAAGTTCTGATCCCACATTAAATACCTGAACTTTCCACCAAGGGCAAAAAACTAGGGGAAAAATCCTCCTCACTTTGGTCTTCCCAGGTCCTTGCAAGTCATGGCTTTTCCTGAGTGGCCAGGATCCAGTAGGTATGGCCTGAGAGAGGACAGGCAGTCCCCAACCCTGCCCTCTGGCCTTGTAGCCTGAAACCCCACCATTATGAGGTTGTCAGGCATTGCCCTCTCCCTGTGATCTCATCTCGGCCCCTGTCAAGATTGTCACAAGGATTCTAGAGACAAGGTTAAGAGGCTGGACCAGGGGCTGGAGCTGTGGCTCAGTAGTAGAGCATATGCCTGGTACATGTGAAGCACTGGGTTTGATCCTCAGCACCACATAAAAATAAGTAAATTAAATAAAGTTATGGTGTCCATATACAACTAAAAAATTAAAAAAAAAAAAAGAGTTTGGTCCAGACCCTTGCTACTCAAAGTGGTCCTTAGACCATCAGCATCAATAGCATCTGGGGGTATGTTTGAGATGGAGAATCTTGGCTGGGAGTGCAGCTCAATGGTAGAGTGGACACTGAGCAAGCAGGGCAGGGGGCCCTGAATTCAGTCCCTAGTACCAATAAAAAAGAAAAAAATAGAATCTAAGAATCTGTCCTTTAACAAGACCTACATATTATTAATGGACATGAACGTCCTACTAGGCACAGTCAACTTTGGGCTTATTGTTTCTACTGGACACAAATCACAAGTTGACATGAAACTTCACAGAGTCTGTGCCCTTAATTAATCGTAACAAACGAAATTGCAACGGTACGTTGTCACGGGTAGGCCTTTTAAACGGTGCTTCCTGCATGCTGTCACCATCTGGGCCTCTTTTTCTAGGTTTGGGGAAACATATGACAACAGATTTCCCCAGGAGGGTGGCTTTTGAGTGTTAACATTCCTAGGACCAAGTTGATCAGCTGCTCAGTGTTTCTGTTAGAGAAAGGACTGGAGACACCCAAAGGTTGATGGGAAGGGAAAGAACCAGAAGTACAAGAAGGGTCAGAAGAGGTGGAAAGCCGCCAACACAAAAATACCCACTAGCAGGACATGGTGTGTCTGTGCTTGGGCTAAGTGCTCTCCTGTGACAAGCTCATTTCATCCCCACAGTGAAGGGTAGGTCCCTGC